TGGTTACCAGGAAAACAGAAAATTCAGTTATATATATATATATATAGGGTGGGCCTTACAACTATTCTCATTTGTACCAAAGAATGAGGATCCCCTTGGATAAAGGGCATGTATATATGTGTGTGTATTTGTTAGTGTAACTTGATTTCAATGAGAGTTTTGATGAAGATGGAGCTGTACAGAAAACACACGATGAACAAAGGTTGGAGAAAGCGAACGGTTTCTTGTTCTTCTCTCTGCAGAAACTTTACAGAGGAATATTGCTTCTCATTTCAGAAATGAGCACTCACGTGCTTTACATTAACTGAAGGTCCTTAACTTGGGACCACATAAACTACTACATTTCATCCTAGACACACATCTCTCTAATTTCATGGATCTACCAACACATGGCACTCATGGCCTTTTTTACAAAACTAGACATTTACACTTTGCCTCATTCTGCACAAGTGGATTCACCAATTTAAACAAAACTTATTCTAAAACATTTCAGCTCAAATACTTATAGTTCAACACTCCCCTTTAAGTTTTGAGCTGATTTCACACCAAGCATATCTCGAAGATAGTTGAATCGATCCTTAGACAAAGCCTTAGTAAATATGTCTGCCACCTGCTCATTTGTTGGACAGTACACCAAATTGATTATCCCTTCCTGGAGTGCATTCTTGATAAAATGATACCTTCTGTCAATGTGCTTGGTTTTCTGATGGAAAACAGGATTTTTAGTAATTGCAATTGCTGCTGTATTATCACAGTGTACTGGAGTCGCTTCAGTTTGCATCTCACCAAAATCTTCAAGAACAAATCTAAGCCAAATGGCTTGAGCAGTTGCTTCAGAGGCACTGATGTACTCTGCTTCTGCTGTAGAGAGTGCTACACAATTCTGCTTCACTGAGGCCCATGAGAACACTCCACTGCCAAAGGAAAATGCATAACCAGAAGTACTCTTGCTATCATCAACAGATCCTCCCCAATCACTATCACAAAATCCGATTAGCATTGCATTCTTTCCCTTAACATACTCCAAACCATAATCTAAAGTTCCCTTGATGTACCTAAGCACTCTTTTGGCTGTTCCAAGATGTTTATTTGTAGGACAGTGCATGAATCGAGCTAGAAGGCTTGCAGCATACATTATATCTGGTCGAGTTACTGTGAGATACAACAAACTTCCAACAATTCTTCGATACTGTTCCTCACTTGCTGAACCACTGCCATCATCTTTGCATAGCTTCTCTGATGAAACCAGTGGTGTAAACACAGATTTACACTCATTCAAACCAAACTTATCTAACAAAGAACCAGCATACTTCCTTTGATGGATAAATATGCTTGTGTGAGTTTGAATCACTCCCATACCAAGGAAATGGTGAAGGAGCCCCAAATCTGTCATCTCATATTTTGTCATCATGTCTTCCTTGAACTCCTTCAACATCTCAGTGCTATTCCCAGTATACACTATGTCATCCACATAGATTGAAACAATCAGAATTTCTCCTCCCCTTACTTTGATGTAAAGAGTAGCTTCACTCTGACTTTTCACAAACCCACAGTGAGCAAAATAGGTATCAATTTCACTATACCAGGCTCTTGGCGCCTGTTTTAGACCATACAAAGCTTTATAAAGCTTGTACACCTTGTCTTCACTCCCCTTGATCACAAAACCATCTGGTTGTTCTACATAAACTTCTTCTTCGAGTACTCCATTCAGAAAAGCAGATTTCACATCTAGTTGGTATAATTTCCAACTTTTCTGAGCTGCCAAAGCAATTAGAGTCCGAATTGTATCCGGTCTAGCTACAGGTGCAAACGTTTCATTGTAATCCACACCTGGTTTCTGAGCATATCCTTTGGCTACCAATCTTGCCTTATGCTTTTGCACTGTCCCATCGAGATTAAGCTTGGTCTTGAACACCCACTTAACCCCAATTATGGGTTTATCACTTGGTCTGTTCACCAGATCCCATGTTGCATTCTTCTCAATCATTGACAGTTCATCTTTCATAGCCTTCATCCATGCTTCATCTTTGGCTGCCTCTTCAAAATTTTCAGGTTCCATAATACAAAGATTGCATTGTGCCAAGACATCATCTAGATTCCTCCATTTCAATGGAGTGTGATCAAAGGCTTGAGTCATTCTCATGCTGCTGTCCACATCACTTACAGATTCATGAGGAAATGCCAGATTTGGTGACAAAACATAATCATTTTCCTCTGGAGTTGTCTCTGATGAGATACATTTAGGCAGCACAGATAACTCACTAGGATTAAACACAGTTACATAGTTCTCAGGAGCTGTCTTCCATTCCCAGGCTGCATTTTCATCAAACACAACATCCCTTGAGAGTATAAGCTTTTTACTAAGAGGATCATACACTCTGTACCCCTTTTCACAGGTTGCATAACCTACAAATATGCCCTTGACACTCTTTGCATCTAGTTTCTGTCTCAACTCATTTGGTGTGTGTACATAACACAGACAACCAAAGATTCTAAGATGTGCAATTCCAGGTTTTCGACCACTGAATGCTTCAAATGGAGTTACTTCTCCAAGAGCTCTTGTAGGACACCTGTTCAATATATAGACAGCTGTGAGTACAGATTCTGCCCATAAGTAGTATGGTAGTCCTTTGTCATGAAGCATAGCTTTTGCCATCTCAACCACAACTCGGTTCTTCCTCTCTACCACTCCATTCTGTTGTGGAGTATAGGCCATAGATAACTGTCTTTGAATCCCTGCATCTTCACACAGTTTGTTGAATTCACAAGATGTGAATTCACCCCTCTGTCACTCCTCAAACATTTTATCTTAAAACCACTTTGTAATTCCACCATGGACTTGAATTTTCTAAAACAGATCAATGCATCTGACTTGTATTTCAGAAAATAAACCCACATCATTCTTGTACAGTCATCTACAAGAAGCATGAAATATTTGTTGCCCGCAAGAGAATCATTCTGCATAGGACCACACAGATCTACATGCACCATTTCTAGAGGTTTACTTGCTCTCCACGCTTGATTCTTTGGAAACCACTCTCTATGCTGTTTCCTAAACTGACAACCTTCACAAACTTCATCCATTTCTTCTAAAACTGGGAGACCATGCACCATTTCTTTGTTCTTAAGCTGTTGAAGACCTCTAAAATGCAGATGGCCTAGTCTCTTGTGCCATATCCAAGTAGACTTAGAAATACCTGCTCTCAGTACAACCTGATCATTTTGTATCAGTGTCAAAGGATAACATCTGTTCTTTTTCATTTCAACTTTGAGTACAAGACAATCCAATGAAGGTCCATCAAAGATACTACACATCTTTCCCCCAAATAACAGGTAGTAACCGTGTTCATCCATCTGCCCTACACTTAACAGATTTTCCTTCAACCCAGGTAGGTACGTTACTTCTTTGACATATTTTCTGCCTTTGCTAGTGTCTATCACAAGTGTACCAAAACCTGCCACATTCATGAGTTCCCCTGTGGGCATTTGAACCTTGCCAACCACATTTGTCTTCATGTCTATCAACAACTTAGAATCCCCTGTCATATGGTTGCTACAACCACTGTCTACATACCATTCTCCATTCACTTTTGATTCAGTGATTGTGCTATTTGCATAAAACAGGTTCCCTGTCACCTCTACCTGATTAGCACTATTTGCCTTTTGCACTAATTTACCTACTGTGCACTCTCTAGCCCAGTGACCAAACTTTTCACAGTTATAGCATTTAGGTTTCCCTTTATACCTACACTCTCCAAAGTGAAACTTAGAACATACCCTGCACTGTGGTTTTGTACCTATCTGCTCCATTGACTGTGCATTATGTGCAGGATTAGCAGGAAATTTCTGCTGAAACTTAGGTTTTGAACCCCATTTCTTGCCCTTGTTATTCCAATTTTTCTGGAACTGAGATGAACCAGATTGACCTTCACCCCTATCCTGCTCTTTTGAACTCACTGAGAAAGATGAGAATGCTTTCCCAGTAGTATCAACAGTATGCAGATCAAACCGTTGTTCTTGACTTTTTAAGATTGCAACTACTTCCTGCAACTCTACAGTCTCTAGACACTTTGTGTTTTCTATAACCAAACAGATAGAATCATAAGGTTTACTAAGACTAATCAGAACCTTTTGCACCAGTCTCTCATTCGACAGAGATTCACCAAATGTTCTCATTTGATTAATTAGCTCATTCAGCCGTGTAAGATAGCTAGATAAAGACTCATCATCTCTCATCCTAGCATATTCAAACTCTCTCCTAAGATTCTGCAATTTCACAGATTGTACCTGATCACCACCGTGATACTCCCCGTACAACAAATCCCATGCCATCTTAGCTGACTCGGCATTGGCGATTCGTGGGAAGATCTGATCCGAGACTGCATTCTGAATGATTCCCAAAGCCTTTGCGTCTTTCATCAGAACAGCTACCATTTCTTCATCATCCTTCGATGCTTCTCCAGCTTCCTTCTTCTTCGGATTGGAGGTTTAAATCCCCTTCTCTACCAGATTCCATAACCCAAGGGATTTGAATATCGTTGCCATTTTAATTCTCCAGAACTCGTAGTTCTCACCGGAGAAAACTGGAGTCCTCACTTCCGAGCCTCCAGATCCAGACATGTTTTGATCTGAATCGACAACGTTCACGGAGCTTCAAGAGAGCTTCGATTGAGCTCAAAAATAGCTTCACAGATTTACGCCCAGATTGTTAGACCCAACCTGGCTCTGAGGCCATGTTAGTGTAACTTGATTTCAATGAGAGTTTTGATGAAGATGGAGCTGTACAGAAAACACACGATGAACAAAGGTTGGAGAAAGCGAACGGTTTCTTGTTCTTCTCTCTGCAGAAACTTTACAGAGGAATATTGCTTCTCATTTCAGAAATGAGCACTCACGTGCTTTACATTAACTGAAGGTCCTTAACTTGGGACCACATAAACTACTACATTTCATCCTAGACACACATCTCTCTAATTTCATGGATCTACCAACACATGGCATTGTATCATGCTAAAAATGTATATACTCTTATGAATACAGGTTTACAATATAACTCACATTTCAAGAATTCCCAAAACACGCAAAAAAATAAAGAGTCAAGGGGAACCAAATATCTAAAATTTGAATGGACGACCTTGTATCCCTAGCTCAATTCTTTCTACATTCACAATGGCACAAGAAAAACTTTATGACCGGAAGATGCCCTCAAAGAATATGTTAAAAACTGCAATCGGAAGAGCAAACTAACTACGGCTATGAAACTAATTTATGTTGTGCCCCATGACAAACTATAACTCGGGTACAAGCCACACCACCGGGTATCAGAGACTACCGATCCGCTACATCACCTCTTTGTCAGCCCCTTGCAGGAGACCTATCAGGAAAAAAACAATGGAAATAGAAAAAAGAGATCATCGTAATGACCAGGCACATCGGTACAATTATAACTAGATGCAACAGCTTTTTCATATGAACTAAGTGCTATGAAAATATTTCAAATTAAAATAGCCGTTTTACGCAAGCATCAGAAATAAGAATGCGTACAGAACACAGCAAAAGTGTACGAATGATTTGGAATAATCTTTCACACTTGATCGGTGAAACTAATAAATTAGATTTTCCTACAACACATCAGTTTCATAGCTCACTTTGCATGGAAAAAGGGCAGCGTGAATGGCTCCTGGATACTATAAAAATGTGAAGAAATTTAGTCTGTAACATGGCCAACCTAACCTAACCTATCCATAACGCCAGCCATCCCGTATAGAATGGAAACTATGAGTATCATAAAATCTGATGGCATATCCCAAGTATATATGAACCTTTTCTCACCTCCGTAAAGGATCCATACAGCTGGACCAGCAGTCTTCATAGGGACCTAGTGACGTGGTGTAAGCACTGCAAACAGTAAAAGATGAGAGAATTAGGATGCAAGAAAACAACCTGAACATATAGAACACAAGCAAACAAGGGGAAAGCCAAAACAGCAGAAGTATCAAATTACGTGAGAACTTGGGACAAAAAAAGAAAAGGCTCCTCAAAATCCAATTTGTCTCTTCAGCGTTGGATTCTATTGAGTATTTGGTTTGAAAAGATGTTAGATTCCCAAGACTCTCTCCTTGTATAAACCCCCTCCCAACCAACAAGTAGAGTGGAAACTTCTTTTTCTTTAAGTTTCTAAGAAAAAAAAAATGTTGTAATGGCACCGTAAGCAGTCAAATGTTCAAAATTTGGGTTGCAGTTATTCCAACATGACCGTAACTACTTAGAATAAGCTGCGACCCCCAGGTACATAATTATAATGTTGATTATAGGTACGTATAATATCCAATAATAGTTAGTAGAGAAAGTGGTAGAAGTAGTGAAATCAGAAAGTTGTCAGAATGGGAGTCAGAGATGGCACTTCAGAATCAATTAATCACCAGAGACAAAATTGGATTTTCACACTGGCCCAACCAATAGCTTTTTAGGCTGACGAGGTTCCTTCATTATTCGTACCCCACTCTTCGTCAGCCTCGTTCCCATTAATGAGTTCAGCACCATCCGTAGAATCAGCATCCACCACAACAGCCTCCTCCTGGCTCCCTTCTTCTCCATCCTGTTCTTCAGCAGCCTGTACCCCATTTTCTTCACCATTCTGTTCAGGAACCTGTAGCAAAACAGATCGAAAAAGGAAATGAAGCACTAGAGTTAAAAAGCCAATTCATATAACAAATTGTTCATGCGAAAGGAAATTTCAAACTGGCCTAAAATTTTCATCCACTGTATATACCTCATGACTTGCTTCCCCATTTTCAAGAGGCTCCTCCTCTTCCTCCAATTGCATATTCCTGAAAGCCTCCACAAGGGTGATGTGTGCTTTATCAACATGGTTTACGTACTCCTCTGCGGGAGGATAGACACCCCTAAACAAATCAAACGAAAATAATTAATACAGCTCAATAGAAGATGATATATCATATAATAAACCATGACTAAGAGCAACTGACATCTCAAGGGAGATATCGTGAAGCCAAAAGAGAACATTTTCACAAGAAAGATATCGAGAAACTTGTGAACCAAATGATAGTAGGTACGTAAATCCACACTCAGTGCATACACAAACATATGCACAGCAGAGGTACCTTGTCTCTGCAGCTTTTGATTCAACAGAAAGAGCAACTTGCCAATCATCGAACAAATTCGGATACTCTTCAGGATCAGCTAAAGACTCAGCAGCTTTCGGATTAACCTACAGGTTAACAATGAATCAAAGTTAAGTTATTAGACAAGGACACGCAAGTGGATGCATATGAATGCATCCAATCCAATTACATATGTAAGTAATTACTATGCATCTGCACATGCATATGTGGTTCTGTGTGTATGCATGTACGTTATCTTGTACTGTTTCAGCAGAGTAGCCAAGTTGAGAAGCCATCTAATGAATTATACTTGAGCATAACAGCATAAAATATGTAAACAGACAGATGCAAACATGCAAAGCTGCATCAAACCAAGTTAACCAACTATGGAGGAAGTTGATCCACAGGAGTATTTTTTGAAAAATGAGATGGAAAACGTGAAAACAAAAACTATTTTAGTAAAAGTATCCGCAGATATGTGTATAAAAAATGAGGCAAGTTAGCTTTTCCTTAACTTTGAAAAGTAGAATTGCAACCCGAAATTTCCTAGAGAAAGAATATACATGTAAAAGGGAATGTTGCCAATATGTTTTTGGTAGCAATGTTCTGGATTCTAAAAAAACAAAATAACATAGAAAGAAAAATAAGTAGTGTTGTATGTCACAACCATGTTATATCCCTAAAAGGTGATATAAGACTGCCATGCC